CATCCCAGCTCTTACATTAATTCACGTAAGAACCTTATGTAGATGTAGCAGTGCTTGGTGCTTAGATGAGGTGCTAAGCATATTGAAGAATTTAGCAACAAAAGTCCCCATATATGCTTAAACTTGTTGTAGCTAAGTTCTGTTCATTTAATGATTTAGCAACTAAACTTCTCCATGCATTGGTGGATCTTTTTCATTTAAGTGTTTTATCTAGGCCACCTGCTTGGCATTGTTTCTTTCTGGGGCATCAAAGTCATCTCTCTCCTCTTAATTACATTGCCACGTCATCTTTTTCACCACATGGCATACGTAGCACTTGTACAAGGTGAAGCATTGAGAAGCACCTAAGAATCTAGGAGCCATTTACACCGTCGCAACAAACACCAACTATATGGAACTTTATTCATTAGATTGGCGCTGGTGTTGCCACCAAAGAAGTGTCACCATGTTAGTAAACGTACCAAAGAGGGAAAATGACTACTCCATACGATAGCTCGAGAACTCTCCGCACTCTCACACCAATGAGGCCAGTGGAATATGGGGCGGGGTAGGGGCGATGAGATGATGCACAAAAAAAGAATCTCTTCTCTAGATTTTGGTGAGGAGATAAGAGCGTGGCTTACACAAATATACACAATAAAATTACGTAGGCAACGTGATTAACAAAAGAATTAGAAACCGAGAGTTTACAACATATCTTATTAATAAATGTACAAAAGTCTTGGACCAATTTGATTGGCACTATCTATAGGAATACAGTGAAAGATAAAATGACATACTAATTCTTACCAAAATTTAATTAAAAAAATACATAATATAAGTTATATAGATTTGCGCTAGTATAATAAGAGGTTATGGTACTCGGTTTGTTCTTTTTATAAGACATTTTAGACAGTTGACATTCAACTATTTTGGGTGTTGTCTGAATTGCATAAACGTGTTATAAAAATTGATCGCAGGGAGCAGTATATACACATGAAATAGTTATTGCAGATAAAGAAAACATGCACGCACATTGTGCCCATACGAGCACCTTCGAGATACTAAGCCGACACAATGACATCTTGACATTGACGAAGTCACCACAAACGACTTGATTAAAAACTTTAGAGCCACGTGCAATGTAATTCCCGATGAAATTACACCGGTGTTAAATTTTCTACTACCCGTATTATTTTTCACCCCACGGATCAGACAATTTACATCAAAGAATCAGGCTTTGTAAATCTTTTCGTAAGTAGGCCCAAAATTCGAAAACAGATAGACAGGTGCCGAAGGAGTGGAGTACAAATCTCCAAAATTCGAATCGGCCAGCCGGCGCACCGCTGGGAAGGCCCTGGTGGAGCGGGACGGCTGTCCGGTGTTTGGGGCGTCGCATCCGCATCCGCAGACTCTGAGAAGGAAACAGGGAGTGGGGGAAGGCGGCCCCGGCAGCGCGGCGTGCAGACTGGATCGCTCCAGACAGACGCGCACGATGCCTTTCGCCTGGCGGTGTGGCCCGCCCGTCGGCCCGTCCATCCCGTGTCGTGTGGATGTGAGGCCAACTTCATGGCGCGCGACCCTATTTTATCCGGCCTTGTTTATTTGAGATAAAACGGACAAATAAAATGGTCTAACGCATGATGATCCAGATTCATTTTGTCTGTTTTGTGTTCGGGCCGACTCATTTTAAGTGCAAACTTGTGCCAGGTTTAGGCCGCGACGGACACCAAACGCGCGCGCCTCGTCCATGTCGGGGCAGCGTGGCAGGCGGCCACCTATCTCCCACCTGCCCACATCAATGCGCACGAGCGGACGGCCCCACCTGTCATCCGCACATCGAAAGGTCGTCGTCCTTCTTTAAGTGGGAAGCATAGACGGGTCGTCGTCCACACTGCCCCACGCCACCCCGCGGCCTTCTCGAAACCCGACAATGCCAAACCCAAACCCTAGCCAAGAACTCGCCGGCCGGCCACCCGCAGCCATGGGCCTCTGGAACTACGGCCGCAAAGGCAAGCACGACCGCGAGGCTGGTTCCTCGTCGGGACGCCGCCGCGGCTCGATGAAGAAGGAGGAGCCCGCGACGCCATCGCCACCACGTCGGCCCCCCGCGTCGCCCGCGTTCTCCATCGCGCCCATGGCCACCGGCGAGCGCGACCGGTACTACAACAAGGCGGCCATCTGCCGCCTGTATTGGGAGACGAGGACGTTGCTGCCCTGGAGCGACGTCCACCTCCCCAATAACTGGCACCTGTCAGCCGACCGCGTGCCGATCTCGCCCGTCCCGCAGAGCGGCCATGCGCGCCGCCAGGAGATCCAGCGTCACCGCCGCCTCCTCCCGGACGACCTCTACTACGATGAGAGGTACGCCCCCGACTCGTCATTGTGGGACACTTGGCTCCGCGATGAACACGACGTGCGGCGGGCGTCGTTCTTCGCCGGCACGTCGATGGGACCGCGGCGGCCACGTGAGCCCCGAGCAGCTCCCCAGGCACGCGGGCGTACGCGGCCTGACGCCCACGCCTCGCCGTCGCCATCTCCATCGCCACCCCCGCCTCCTCGCATGACAGCGGAGGAGGAGGCTCGGCTCATGGCGCGTGTGCTGGAGGACTTCGAGCACACGCACGATGAGCGCCAATGGGCGGACCTCGAGGAGACGATGGCCCTCTCCGCGGCCGGCGACGTCGCCTTCCCCAAGCTGGAGATGGCGCCGGAGGAGGAGGTGGTGGAGCAGCCGCCGGTGGCTGCGTTCCACCCAGACCTGGTGGGCCAGGGGTGAAGTGGTGGTGCTCCGCTGAGCAGATGGCGGCCGCCCTGGGGGCTGTGAACTGGTGCCCCATGTCGCCGCGGTCGCCGGAGAGGGAGGCCTCGCCTCGGGAGGAGGTGGTGCAAGCACCGGCCACCTTTCAGCCCGCCGCACCCGTGCACCACGGACAGCCGGCCCACCTGTGGACGCCGCCGAACTACGTCGACCTCTTTAGCGACGACGACGACACCGGCGGCCAGTGAAGACGGCGACGGCGATGGCCAATGCATCGACGGGCGCGGCAGGAGCGCGCGGGAGGCGTTTTTTTAATTTTGGTTTTATGTTAATTATGAAACTGGGCCGTTTAAGTGGACTGAGAAACTGGGCCGTTTTGTGGCCGTAACCCGTATATATATTTTATTTTTTTTAACTGCGTTTATTTACTTTTTTAGTCATTTCATTTAAGTTTTTAATTTTTTTTCACGTCCACCCTGG